CCCCTTAGCCTGCCATCTCAGGGGTACAGGTGGCTGTCCATGCAGGTGAGATCTTAGTTGAGCTGTGCCCTTCCTTTTGCAATGAGGGCAACTGTCCCAGCTGCTTCTAGAATTTTTTTTTTTTTTGAGAAGGGTCTTGCCCTGTCACCCAAGCTAGAGTGGCAGTGGCACTATAATAGCTCAGTGCAATCTCAAACTCTTGGGCTCAAGCAAGGCTCCTGCCTCAGCCTCCCCAATAGGTGGGGCTACAGGTGTGCACCACCATACCTGATTGATTTTGACATTTCTTTTGTAGAGACATGATCTCGCTGTGTGGCACAGGCTGAAATACAGGGGCTACTCACAGATGCAATCACAGCTCACTGCAGCCTCGAACTCCTAGGCTCAAGCAATTCTCCTACCTCAGCCTCTGGAGTTGCTGGAACTACAACCAATGCCATCATGCACAACTGCTTTTAGGATTTTTAAAGACCTTGATTCTACTGTCTTTCAGTAATGTGGACTTTCTATAGACCGGGACCTTGTCAGAGGCTGCTTTGGGGGCTGAAAACATGACAGTAAACAAGCTTCTCTGTGTCTTTGTTTCTTTACCTAAAAAATGAGGGTAAGAGTTTCCTACTCCACAGGGTGGCTACAAGGATTGAATGAGCTATTACACAACACACACACACCAGTGAGAGGTGGCTGTTAGTTATTATGTCAGTTTTCGTTCATCACAGTCTATCTGTTCCTTTATTTTGGTGTTACCCAAATATCAAACATTCATAGAGCACCTTGCTAAACTTTGGACTGTTTTCACGATTGTTTACTTAGTACCGTTTTTTAAGCTGATTCATTTCCTTTTCACCTAAAATATATTTTACAAGGGGACTGTATATCACCATGGTAAATGGAAAAATAGAATTATGTGTCATAACTAGGAGGCAAATATAAAAATGAAAAGAAAGAAAACAAAACAATCAAATTAACCTCAAGCCTGATGCCTGCCAAAGGCATTGACCCCAGCCTTCCTGCTTTTCCTAAAAAGAAAGATCAGAGGGACATGAGAGGTAAGAGAGTGACACAGGGACTTTCTCCTCCAAGGAGCTGGAAGCCATGACGAGCTGAAAAGGGGGGGCCCTTCTCCCTGCAGGATGTGGCCTTTAATGGCCAGTGTAGTCCTTCTAAACGCTGACTTGGCACATACAACAACATTCTGCCATCCCACGCACTGGGAGAGCTTGTTCCAGGGCAGCCGCTCTGCAGACCTTTCTGTGCTGGGGAAATGTTCTAGATCTGTGCTGTCCAGAAGAGGAGGCACCTGCCACATGCGGCTACTTAGCATGTGAAATGTGGCTGGTGCAACTGAGGAGCCGAATCTTTCGTTTCATTTTATTTATTTATTTTTTTTTGAGACGGAGTCTGGCTCTGTCTCCAGGCTGGAGCACAGTGGCACAATCTCGACTCACTGCAACCTCCGCCTCCCAGGTTCAAGCGATTTTCCTGCCTCAGCCTCCCAAGTAGCTGGGACTACAGGCACATGCCACCACATCTGGCTAATTTTTTTGTATTTTAGTAGAGACAAGGGTTTCACCATGTTGGCCAGGATGGTCTCAACTGCCTGATCTCGTGATCCGCCTGCCTCAGCCTCCCAAAGTGCTGGGAAAACAGGCGTGAGTCATCATGGCCAGGTTTCTGGTTTTTTGTTTGTTTGTTTGAGACTTTGTCACTCAGGCTGGAGCACAGTCGTGTGTTCTCAGCTCACTTCAACCTCTGCTCCTCGGGTTCAAGCGATTTTCCTGCCTCGGCCTCCCTAGTAGCTGGTATTACAGGCATTCGCCACCACACCCAGCCAATTTTTTGTATTTATAGTAGAGATGGGGTTGCACCATGTTGGCCAGGCTGGTCTCTAACACCTGTCCTCAAGTGATCCACCCACCTCAGCCTTCCAACGTGCTGGGATAACAGGCATGAGCCACCGCACCAAGTCTCATTTTAATCGATACAAATCTCAAGAGCCACATGTGTCTAGGAGCTCTGGTACCAGAGAGCACAGCTCTACTGAGAGAGCTGTATGTCTTGGCTCTCCAATCGAATTTATGTTCACTTTAGGGTTATGCCCTTGTAAGATTTCCTTCAAGGAAAATCTTACAAAACCAGACAGTGATTGCCACAGGAACGTAGCTGAGGATGGTCTACTCTACCGTTTATTATTGTTTAATCTCGAACCCTGTGTGGAAATTTCTTTTAGAGCTTCTTTTGAAGAATTAACATAGTTTCTTATTATTAGCAACTGAATTATCCAAATAACCACATTTCCCTTTCACACTGGCTGTCAGGAAGCCCACAGGAAATTCATAAATCAATGAGAGCAACTGTGTAGAATCTCATGACACATACAACTGGTTTCTACATTTTCCTTTTAAACACTTAGTTGACATTTTCTCTGATATATTTTTTGACTTCTATGTTATCATTCTTTTCTAGCTGTTTCTCTAGAAATTTTCTCAAAATCTCAAAACTTCTTTGGAATTAAATAGCATACTTTTTTTTTTTTTTTTTTTTTGAGACAGAGTTTCATTTTTATCACCCAATCTGGTGTGCAGGGGCATGATCTCGGCTCACTGCAACCTCTGCCTCCCAGGTTCAAGTGATTCTCCTGTCCCAGCCTCCTGCCTGGCTACTTTTTGTATTTTCAGTAGAGACAGTGTTTCACCATGTTGGCCAGGCTGGTCTCAAACTCCCGACCTCAGGTGATCCACCTGCCTTAGCCTCCCAAAGTGCTAGGAGTACAGACGTGAGCCACTACACCCTGCCAGCACACTTTTTTAAATTCTAAAAAAAAATACTCTTCAACAGTACCAGTATTTTAAATGACTCACCTTCTATGCAGTATCATTTATATAAAGTAAAAGCATGGCAATATACACTTTCTAAAATGCTTCCATATGCTCTGATTTTGCTCTGCAGGCACCAATCAGAAGCATCGTTTGCTAGAAACAGAAAAATAATTGCACGCAAGAGACTCTACTTCACATCCCCCAACATCAGAGCATTGCAGAAGGCCAAAGGTTCATGGAGTGAGGTTGCTCCCCATGATGTGGAGCGGCCAGGCCTGCAGCTGGCTGGAAGCAGGGCCACGCCCAGGAGAGCTTCACACAGTGAAGGATGGGAAGAGAGTGGCTTCACGGCCACAGTGGCCACTGTGGAAACAATCACCCAGGCAACGGCATATTTGCTAAGGTACATCTCATTTCATAGCTGACTTTCAGGAGCTGAAACTTGCCAGGTTGCTTCATGGGGTGAACGGGGGAAAATGTCAAAACTGAAAGGTCAAGGAAACGTCTCAAGTGATGTCATGTTTTAATCTTGCTCTAAGACAAAGCTATCTGCTTCATGTTTTTCACCCTCCAGGCTACATCTTCCAGTGCTCTCCTGACCACAAAGCAGAACCTGAAGGACACTCAAATAAAGAATTAGGTTCTGGGGGGATAAAAGGACAAAGAGAAGAGGATTTTTGAAAATCCGTAATATCAAATTCTCTTTTTATACCGAAGCTGAGAACAACATGAACACACAAGATTCTCCTCTGACTGTTGCCCAGCTGAACATGTAAACAAAAACAGCCTTCTCGTGCCAAAGTCTAGCTCATCTGTCCCTGCTAATTCCAGTAAGATGAGCATATTCTGCTTAGACTGGAGACCAAGCAGGTGAGAAATGAATACAGAGTGTCTACTGCATGCCAGATATTTCTAACCTCACAACAGTTTTACAAGATAGATTACTGTTTCCATTTTACAGCTGAAGGAACTAAGATGCATCTAAGGTCATAGGATTTAAACCAGGGGTTCCATTTTCAAGTTCAGTGTCCTTTCTTCACCACTCTGCTCTTTGGGGAAAAATATCTTATCAGCCAAGAAGATGTCTTCGATAAGTCAATTTCTCACTAAGAAAGATGGCAACAAAATCCAAGGATTTGCAAAGAGCTCATGGGGAATAAAACAAAATGTAATGACAATTATTTTAGCACAAGAGGACAGAAGAAGCAGGAAGCAGCTGGGGCTCAGCACTGAGAACAAAGCAGTCCCAGAACAAGGGCGCATAAAAGCCTAGAAATCAGAGTCTATGGTAAGAGCGAGGAGAAGACAGACAGACATGCAGACAGGGCGTGGGCAGGGCTAAAAGAAGCTTCAGAAAATCAGAGAGAAGATGGAGAACTGGCATCCCCTTGATTGGGCAAAATCACCTCTTCCAGACACATGTCTCGCCACCCCAGACAGTGAATGCCCACCTAGGTGTGGCCATCACTACCCTAAGGAAGCAGAGGCGGTGTCTACAGGTTCTGCTTGTCAAGTCTCCGCTGTCCCTTCTTTTGGAAAGAATTCTCTGGCTCTGATTTGGGTAATCTCCTTTCTTCGCTCTCAGACATGTGGTCAGGTGAGGTAAACCCCCACCCCGGGCCCAGCAGTGGTTATATGAGCTGAATCAGGCCAGTCACAGAGTCCATCACCCAACCCCAAGGTGTAGGAAGAGGCTCGAGATCCAAGACAGACCACTGAGACTCACCGATCCAGACAGGCTGAGAACCTGGCGCTGCTGGTGTCATCCTGTCAACCCACAGACAGCTAGCCTGAGAGGGTCACCACGCAGCAGACACAGGAGACGGCGGCAGGTTCCTGATGGCAGGTGCAGCTGTGCTTGAGGTCTGACCTACCCCTGGACTTTTCAGATACAATGCAAGCCAACCCATCTCCGTCTCTGCTCAAGCAGTCTGAACTGGGATTCCACAGCAGCCACACTAAGAGGCCTAGCTGGCATGAAGAGGCCCACCATATCCTCCCGCTCAACTGAAAGCCACAGACTTCTTCTGCAAGGCCTCTGGGTAGTTAAGATGTGGGTGTTTAGAGGGCTGTCACATCCTAATCACAGTGCCTCACCACCAAGAGGCAAAGCACCACAGCAAGACAAATGGGCGTCTTTCCATCCAGCTCTAAGGTCCACCTGAAAACCAAGCCACTCACCTGATACACGTGGAATGCATTCGCTGCTTTGCCCCGGAGAAACACTGAGGGGATCCAGACGTTGATCAGCGCCCGGTTTGATCTGACCAAAAGAGAGAGACCAATATTGGGCATTTTAACTCATTTAAAACAAAAAAAAAGAGGAAAGGAGACAATTTTCTCCTCTAAGAGGTATTAAGCACAAGCAATTTATGACAACCTACATCACAACTGAGAGCAAGCTAAAGGACAAGTTCAAGTCCTATCACTAAAGCTCTCCCTCTCTCATATATATGCAATCTGTTCTCCGGAATAAGAAAGTTCTCAGGGAGTGATCTGGCCTATAATGTATCTGAACCTCAGTCTCCACATCTGAGGATAATAACTGGAAGCCCCAAGGAAGCTATCACAGGAGGTCACGCACAGCAATACCCAGCGTTTCTGGGGCGCCCCACACACATGCTGCCTCCTCCCTGAGCTGACTTTACACTCTGAGCCCATCTTAAGAGCAGATTCCACTAGGGAGCTCAGGAGACCAACACTCATGGCAAAGGGGGTAACAGCTTAGTTTAGAATAGGAGAAGGGAAGCACAAGAGAAAATGACAAGTTAGAACACCAGGCTGATGGGTACAAATACCTCTCTTTCAACTTTTCCAAAAATGCCATGTACATGGGTCTAATACAGCAAGGTTTAAGTTCAAATGCAAAATAATTTACTGAGTACCTACCATACATGGCTCCATGCTTCTACCTATACTAAAATAATTTATTCCTCACATGGGCTATTTGATGCACGTGTAAGAGGTATTTTGGTTATGTCACTCTTTTGCCTTATGCGATGACTTTAAACTTAACTGGTAAGTCACTAGGTATATACACACATGCCACTATCAAATTTGCACCTGGCTGGATCCAAATTACACAGAGATAATAAGCTGACTGTCCCTGAAACTTCAAGATCAATTGCAGTCATTATAAAAATGGTACTGTACCGTTCTGGAAGAGCTGGAAGGTCCCAGCCTTCACCTCTAATTAGAGCTGTTCCAGGGCTAAATGCTTTCTCCTGAGTTCTCCTTCTCTCTAAAGAGCAGCTCATAAAAACTCCCCAGCCTTCCAGGCTCAGAACACTATTTGAGACACCAGTGATGGAAGATTCCACGATTCAATGTTCTCACAACCTCTAGAGTAAAGACCATTTCATTTTCACAATGAAAATAACCCTTCCGGTAATGGTTCTCTCCTGCAGCAGCATTTCTTCTAATCTCTGACCTGAGGTGCTGACCTCCTTTGAGGGGTAAATTAAACCCCACTGATCACTTCCCCAGGGCTCAATGCAATTTGTACATTGCAATTCTGAGCCACCAAAACTGGTTTGTGTATCTAATCACTTTCCTCCTGGAAAGGTCCCTGAAATTGTATTAGTGCCTATAACATTCCCCTTTCATTTCTGTGCCAGGCTACGAGGCAGAAATATAACTAGCACTCTGGTTTTTATTAACTTTCCTGGATTGGAGAGGACTGGACAACCTCCCAGGGTTAGAGCAAGGTTATCCCCAGCCTGGATTATATGGTTCTCTCTTTCAGTGCAGTGACCACACTGAATCAAAATAGATTGTTTACATAACCATCTCCTTCCGAGGTGTTAATTCACTTGTTCATCATTTTGTTCCTTCACTCACTCACTCACTCATTATACAAGCACTTACTGAGAAGCTATTACCCTGGGTACTAGAGATAGAGCAGTAAAAGCAGACATGGCCCCTTTCTTCATGAAGCATTCAGTTTCAACATGAGAGAGAGAGACAAACCTCCATAAAATTTACTCTGTTGTGGGCTGGGTGCAGTGGTTCACACCTATAATCACAGCACTTTGGGAGGCTGAGGCAGGGGGATCATCTAAAGTCAGGAGTTGCCTGGTGAACATGGTGAAATCCTGTCTCTACAAAAAATAAAAAAATTAGCTGGGCATGGTGGCACGCGCCTATAGTTCCAGCTACTTGGGAGGCTGAGGCAGAGGAATCACCTGAACCCAGGAGGCAGAGGTTGCAGTGAGCCCAGATCACACCACTGCACTCCAGCCTGGATGACAGAGTGAGACTCCATCTCAAAAAAAAAAAAATATATATATATATAGATAGATAGATAGATACACACACACACACACACACACACACACACACACACACACACACACACACGTACACGTATTTTTTTAAACTCTATTGTGGTCAAGGAAGACACTTAGTATGATTTCAATTTTTAAAAACTTATTGAGACTGGTTTTGTGGCCTAACATATGTCTTTCCTGGAAAGTTATGTGCACTTGAGAAGAATGTGCATTCTGCTGTTATTTGGTGGAGTGTTCTATGTACGTCTGTTATATCTCATTGGTTTCTCATGTTGTTCAAATCTTCTGTCCCCTTACTGACCTTCTGTCTAGTTATTCTATCCATTATTAAAAGTGGGGTACCGAAGTCACCTCTTATTGTACAACTGTTTGTTTTTCCTTTCATTTCTGTTGATTTTTTAGATCATATGTTCTGAAGCTTTGTTGTCAGGTGCATATATGCCTATAGTTGTTACAGAGAAATTGTTTACTACTATTGTAAGTACCATCAAGGAACACCGGATCTACGGAGAGTGACTTCCAGGGCCTGCTTTGGTCTGGGACACCAGAGAAAGCTTCTTTGAAGCAGCAATGTTTGGGCCAGGCTTTAAGGGATATTTGGAGTTACCCAAGTTGGGGAAGGGAGGGTGCGGCTGAGAAAGGTGCTTCAGGCAGGGGAATGAGCATCTGTGAAGAGCACTGAGTCTAGACCGGGACTGCCTGGGTTTGCATCCTGGTTCCATTTCATCACCTGTGAGGTGACATCCGTCTTTGAAGGTTGTTGTGAGGACTACGTGAGTGAGAACAGTGCCCAGCACAGAGGTGATCCTGTGTGCATGAGGGTTAAGTGGATAAAATAATAACCCTAAAGGGAGAAGACCATGTGGGTTTGATGAGTGGAGCTGCCAGGGTGGCTGGTACAGGGAGACGAACGGGAAAAGCTGGGGATGAGCCAGACGTGAGTGAGGGACTTCTTCATAACTTCCATGAAGGACGTTGGTCTCCATGCTGAGAGGGGAATGGCGCCATTGCTGCCTCTGGCTTTAGTGTAGATGAGGAAACTGGTTGGGGGAGGTTCCAAATCTCTGGGGTGAGACAATGTGGCCTGGTTCAGGCAGGGACCATGGCTAATTCATCCTCTCTATCGGGAACCTGCCTGGACACCGGCCTGCCACAGGACCTGGGTGAATTCTGGCTATAAAAATGAGTGCTTCCAGCCTTGTGTCTGAGGCTCCCCTCTGTGGCTCTCTCCTATCTTCCCAGTTTCTTCCCATGGCTGCCCTCCGCCGGGCTGCCGTTCCAGGATCCTCTTCACACTGTGCTCCCCCTACCCACAAGCCCATGGCAGGCATATTCACCTTTGATTTTCATCCTTCACTTCTCACCCACCTCAGCCTCTCCACCCTACCAGCCTAACAGCCACCTCCAGCCCCAACCTCCAGCCCCAAACCCAGCAGCTGCCCCAACACTCAGTGGCCCTGGGATGGCCTTATATCTTCCATAGTCTCACTTTCATTGCCACCACACACCCTGTAAGGTTTGCATCAGGACCTTCACCTCGCAAATGAGGAAAGTGAGGCCCAGTGAGGATAAATGGCTGGACTGATGCCTGAGATTTCAACATAGGCAGCCTGGCTCTGAAGAAATGCTCTTTCCAAGGCCCAGCCCTGCCTGCTCTAGAAGGGGCTTCTCCTGAGCTTTTCTTCCCAGGGGGGCTGAACCCTACATATGCCAGAGGGGAATGAGAGAGGAGAAAACTTATCCCATTTTATTTTCCAGCTTAAGTAGGATCTATTTATCCAAAACCCAAGAAATCCTGAACAAAAACTGGCTGGGTATGGTGGCTCACGCCTGTAATCCTGGCATTTTGGAAGGCAGAGGTGAGCGGATCACCTGAGGTCAGGAGTTCAAGACCAGCCTGGTCAAAATGATAAAACCCCATCTCTAGTAAAAATACAAAGATTAGCCAGGCGTGGTGGTGTGTACCTATAATCCCAGCTACTTGGGAAGCTGAGGCAGAAGAACCACCTGAATCCGTAGGCAGAGGTTGCCGTGAGCCAAGATCTAGCCACTGCACTCCAGCCTGGGAGACAGAGTGAGAGTCCATCTCAAAAAAAAAAAGGCTGCTGGCCAACTAACCTCTCCCTAGGGGTACTCAGCAGAGGCACCACATAGAATCTAATACAATAAAAAATCCAACCAAGGCACTGACGACTATTGTTTCCAATAACCCAGGGGCCACACAGACAATAAAATGAGTGAAGTTGGTCGCTTCCCAGCAACTGCCAAGAGTGGGGACTGTGGTACCCTGGACAGCACATGGCCTGTGCGAAGGGGACAGCTTTTATTCGGTTCCTGTGGACTGTGGCCTTACAGGCACGAGCATCTGATTTTTAAAGAAAATAAAGGAAATTTGAATTTTTATGTGGTATCTTCCAACTTTGAAATGTCGGCAAAACAAAATGTTTTTTAAAACCCAAGAGAGAGATTAAATATGTCTGAGGGCCACACTGAGGCTGCAGGAAAACCACTTCCCACCTCTACAAGAACCACGTCAACCCTGTGTAGTTCTCAACAGTGATTTCTGTTTCCCCTCGAGGTCTTCTGCAACAGAAGCCAACAACACAGTCGTTTCTAAAGGACCCCTTGTGAGTACAGGCTGTGGACTTACATTTCAAAATCCGACAAACTCTGGTCTTCGGATGTTTGGCTCAAATCTCCAGGCACCTACCATGAGGAGAAGGGAGAAAAAATGCATAATGGTTACCAAGGTTTGCATAACCACAGAAGAATCCTGCCTCCCGTGATCCCTAAACACTTCCTGTTCAGAAGGAAGTGAAAAAGCAGTGACTGGAAAGCAGTAAGAGATAGCTACAGATGTTGCAGTAATACAAATATGCCACCATGAGAGATCTCAATTATCTTTACGAAGAAGGGACTGTTAATCCTACTGAGATCATCAAAGGCATGTAAGAGCATGTAATTTTGGATAATGGCCCAATTAGGATCTGAGACGCAAGTTATCAAATGTGCGATGGAAAAAAATACCCACTGTCACCATGATGAACATCCCGCACACAGGCACACCCAGTAGGTAAACACAAAAGACCAAAGTCCACCCCCACACCATGGCTGCATCCTTTCCCCTCATAATGCATGAGCAATTTTAGGTAGCAGAATATGGCTTCTTCTGATTCAGAAGGGCCACATGAGACAGTGATTATGGGAGAGAAACTCAAACATGCGGCATGATAAACCCACCACCAGTACTGCTTAGGAGTCCTGACCACACACCGTGGAGGCGGGGGTGAGGGCAAGCACGCATTCAGAGGTACATGTGACCCCCAGTAGGCTACCCACCCTCAGCTCCCCATGAGATAGGAAACTGATTCTCACAGCTGTCTCAAGGATTGCAATTATTATGTAAAGTGGACAGCAAAATGCCCAGTAGTGGTAGATGTTCAAAAAATGTTGGTATTTTTCTCATACCCAGGGAATGAGCTTCTTTTTTTGATCTGCTAGAAACTGAGCTGGCTAGAATTTTAAGAAGGAGGATGAGGACTAAGAGAAGTAGAACAGAGAAGGGTGAGGGGCAGTGAAGGGAAAAAAGACTTCACACCTTTTACCTCTCAGGGCTTCCCACCACCCACAATCCTCATCAAGCTTCACAGTGCACCTGAGGGCAGGTATTATTCTCCCCACTTTACAGATGGGGAAACTGAGGCTCGGGGAGGGGGTATAACTTGCCCAAGGTCACACATCTAGGAAATGGATCTGTCCAACTTCAAAGACTTGTCTGCTATAAACCCTCAGCAAACAGGAAAAGTTAGCTAAAAGGTGAAAAAGAAAGTAAGATTAAAGTAGTCTGGAAGGGTTCTTCAAGAAGAAATGAAGAAACTTGAAGGTTAGGACACATTAGAAAGCTCTCGTTAAATAAGCAGTGGAGGCTGAGTGAAGTGGCTCATGTATGTAATTTCAGCACTTTGGGAGGCTGCGGTGGGCAGATTGCTTGAGCCCGGGAGTTCAAGACCAGACTGGGCAACATAGCAAGACCTTGTCTCTCCTAAAAATAATGGAAAAACATTAGCTAGGCATGGTGGCACAAGCCTGTAGTCCCACCTACTCTGGAGGCTGAGGTGGGAGCATCACTTGAATCCCGGAACTTAAGGCTGCAGTGACCTATGATCACACCACTGCACCCTAACCTGGGTGACAGAGCAAGACCCTGTCTCAAAAAGAAAAAATTAAAATTAAAAAGAGAATTAGCATTTTGAACTTTTCTGTACTTTCTACAATGAAGATATATTAACTGCATAACCATAACAGTTACAAATTATTTATCAATTTAGTGCCTATCACATTATTAAGTAATCAAATATACTTTCCACATCATCCAACTCCATACATTGCACTCAAATCCAGAGGCAAGATGGCAGAGCTGGCGCCTTCCAAACAGTTATGCATCATGGATGGAAAAGGGCAGAGAAAGGGTTCTGAGGCCATGTCACCTTCTAGACAACACCAATTCTCCCCTTTGTACATCCATGTGAAGACCAGTAGAAATAGCCAGGATGCCAGCATCTTCTCTGGCAGACACTGTGCAGCAGCTCTTGGGCACTCCTCTTCTCTGGGTTTCGCCCTCAGCACTGGGGCTGGGGAAAGTCTCTTCTGGGCATGCTGTGGGAATCAAGTGAGTAGGCCAGAGGGGGACTAACAGGCCATCAGCTCCACTGCTACGTACCATCACCACCACCTTTAAATGCAGCCTCATTTCCAACAGGAAGCGAACAGAGTTTGCACCCAGGAACCTCATTCACATGAACCTCTGGCTGTATCTACCCCACAAAGCACAAGCAGAAGGCAACCAAAAGGACCAAGGTGAGAGATAAGGCAGGTTTTTTAAGGACAGGCATTACTCTACAATTACAGCGAGCAAAGGGCTTCTTCAAAAATCATTAATTCTGGAACACGGTATTTTTTGGATAGGTAAGTTTCCCCTCAGGGATGCTGATTTTCAGGCAGCATTTTGAACGGTGGATATGAGTACCCAGGAGTTGTTCAATCCTTCTGACTTAGAGGCTTTTCTTCTAATTATGTGGCATTATTGGGATCAGTAAACCAGGAGATTTTGTGCATCTACGCGAGTACCAGAGAGGCTGCTTGGAAAAAGCATTTGGGAACTTTCTAACCTCTGTGGAATATAACTTGATAACAAGGCCAGGCACTGCAGCAAATGCATGATAATAACTAAAGGCCGAGCTTACTCAACATCAAATTTTCTTTTTTCTTGCTGTCTTTCAAGACTGGAGCCAGATATTAGGTAGATTTGACAGCAGACCTTCAGAAAGCCGATTCTATTTTATATTCTGCCAATAAAGAGAGTGTGGAGCAGAGATTATTTTGTAAGAAAAATCAACTTTCTACTGATACTGGTCACAAGCACCCCCTGTGACCTCCTGAAGTCTGGGGAATCTTGCAGAGCCCATCCCTGGGATGCAGACTTCTCTTTAGTTTACCCTCGCTATAGGGCACAAACCAGCCAGGAGCATACATGGCTATCTCCATTCGCCTCTTCCTGACCCTGCAGAGAAGGCAGCTCACCATCTGCCTGTGGTCCGGCGACTCATATGGCAGTCTTCAGGTGCAGGGAAAGGCAGAGCCCGTTACTAGAGCAACAGCAGCCAGCATTCCTGAATCATGCAGGAGCAAACACCCTTAGTGCATACACACAAGGATGTAAAATGGCAGATAAGACCAACGGGGAATCAACTTCTGGGCTATATCAGCAAAGAAGTTCCCATCATCTCCCCTGACTCAGGATTTTCTGGGTTTTGGGGGGGAGGTGGGGAGCAGGGACAGGCCAGTGACAATAGCTCTCTCCCTCATCATGAAATTCTGACCCCAGTGCCGCATGAAACTCTGACACAGGCCCTCCCTGCCACCTTGACTGACAAGTCCTCAAACCTGGGAAGATACTAGAGGTTCTGTCAAAAAAAAAAAAAATGAAAAGTATTCACTCTGTGCTAAATAAATGTTTATTTAAATAAAAAAGAAAGACAGAAGAGGGAGAAAAAAAGAAAAGCAGCCAATCTGCCAAAGCCATAGGGAAAAAATTATACGTCCTCCCATTGGCAGAATAAGGGTCCAAGCAACGGGGTGGCAAAGATGGACAGTGAACCCTCCTTTCATTGCAGCCTCCCTCACTTCTAGTCCAGAGGGGTGTGCAAGTATGACACCATCACCCAATATCATCAAAGGCTTCCTACTCCACAAAGCTCTTCCCCAGTGAGTGGGTAGACATGTGCCCCTATTTCACGGGCAAGGAAAAGATAGATCAGTGTGAATAAACACAGAAGAAGTAAAGATGTCAGGAGCCCAAAACCCACATCTCTTAGTCTACTCAGCAGCCTCTCACTCAGCCTCAGTGACTTCAGGTGCTCATAGTGGAGAAGCCACATGAGGTATTCCGATCAATCATCGCATCTGAGGTCCCAGTGAACAGTCAGCACCAACTGCCAGACAAATGAGACCGCCATCTCGGATATCCAGCTCAGTCAAGCCCTGGTTGACACCACATGATGCAGAAGAACCACCCAGCTGAGCCCAGCCAGCCCACAGAATCATGAGAGATTTTAAAAAATAGCCATTTTTTTTAAGCCATTAGGTTTTGGGCTGGTTTCACACACAGCGATATATAATCCATAAAAGTAACTTGCCGAAGGTCACTCACCTAGCAGCACAGGTAGAGTTCAAATGCAGGTGGTCTGGCTCCAGAGTCTGCACTTCTAACCGCTAAGCTATACTGCCTCCTGCTACAAAGTCTCTATTATTTGCATCTTGCCTCTGGGATACCCAAAAGATGAAGTAACCCAAATTCATACTCAAGAGGTTTAGCTGATAAACAGACCTCTGATGGGTGAAGAAACTCTGAAAGGACTCAACTGCTCAAGAGCAGACATAGAGATCTACAAATGGGTCTAAAGCCTTGAGCCTCCTTAAAGCTTGGGAGTTTTCTGATTTTATTTTGCTGTCACTGCTGCTGCAGGATGACTTAGGAGGCTTTGCCCCTGGGAAGTTCCAAGTCCTCTTCCATCTCTAGGTACACAGGTCAGCTTCCAGATTCTGAGCCAAGTACATAATCTCTCAGGAACAGATGGAAATGCGAATGTTTTGTGTTCTAATCCTGGGCTTCCTCTGATGATTTCAGAAGTCACTTGGTTTCTGCAAACCTTGGTTTCTTCCTTGCCTACCAGCCTCTCATCACCCTATTAGAAAGAATCAGCAAAGGTAAAGGAAGAAGGGCAGCATGTGTTGAACAATTACTATGTGTCAAGGACTTGATGATCTCACATTTAGTCCCCAAACAATCTCTGAAGCAAGTATTATTGTAAGCTACTGCTCCCTTCTCCTCTTCCTCAGCCTCTCAGTAAGGTTAGCTCTTCTCACCTAAGACTCAGCCAAAATATGAATTCCTAGGAGGCACCTTTCCATACCACCAGAACTAAACAGTGTCTCCACAGCAACCCTCTACTGTTCATGTTCCTGTGCTTGTAATGACTCCAAACTGGTTATCTATGGATTGGAACCCTCCTTGTGAAGTCAGAGAGTTCTATGTGCTCACCACACCCACCTGTTTACCTTAACACACTGCAGCCTGGCCAAGAACCCAGCACTTGTAGGCAGTGAATTAACACAATGAATGAATGAAGGAAGGAAGCAATCAATGA